GTATATATATATATATAGTGTGTATATATGTAAAAGAAAAAAAAAAAGAATATTTTTATAAAATCAAATTTAAAACTTATTAATTTGAAATTAATAATTTTGTGTTTTTTTTTTGTTTTTAAAATGAGATGGCACGACACACAATGATGATGATCAACAAACTAACAGTAAAAAACTAACTATAAAATATTTTGTTATTTTTTTTATTCTTGCCTTATTATTTTTTTGGTTATTTTTTTTCTTTACAATATTACTGTTGTTTGATTTTTTGTTTTTTTTTGTTGTTGTTGTTATTTTTTTAGCTTGTGCCTTATATCACGCACTTTATTGTGATTTTAGCACATTTTTATATTTTCATTTTGAAATTTGAAATAATATTTAAAAATATTATTTAATTTTAAAATATTATTAGTCGAATTTTTGGATTGCCTGATGATTTGTATGAAAATTGAACCTTCGGGAAAGAGATATTTATCAAGATACAGATATTATATTTATCGTAAAAATATGAATAATATTTTGTTTTTAAAGTAAAATAATTTGTATAATATAAAATGGTTTGTGTTTGCAATAATAAAATCTACTAGATTTTATAATAAGTAAATCAATATAATTTTGATGATCCAATTCTCGCCCCGTAATTGTAGATTTTTCAAAGGAGTGGGGCAGGAGTATCCGCCGGGCCACCCAGTAATTTGATAAATTATTCTTTTTAAATATATTACAAACTAAAATTTAAAATATTAATTGAAATTTATAAAATTATTTTAATTCAATAGAATTTTTATTTAATAAATTAATAGAGAAAAATTCCAAACTGTGTTTTTCTGTATAATTTTTCTATATAAAATAATGATTATAAGGTACCAACCATTTAACTACCAAGCACACCAAAATTTAACTACATATTCTAAATGTATACAGAATTCTAATTTATAAACTTCTTATTAACGGTATTATTATTTTACAAAAAAAAAATTATTATTGCGTTATTCATGAAATGTGCTTATTTGAAATTCGTATTTTTTATAATATTACTTATTGAAAATATTATTTTGCCCTGATGGGTCTTCCATATAACTGGGATAAAAAACCAAAAAAAAAAATAAAATAAATAGAAATAGAACTCTATATAGAATACTTATATAATATAAATATTGTATGATGGGTCATTCTTTAATTTATATTTTATTTTATGTTTTTTCTATTTTAATATTTTCTATATATTTTTGATATTGAAGTTCACACCTGTATGGCGTGTTCAACAAATATATACCAAGCAACTTAACTGTCTCCCTATAATAATATTTTATTTAAAAAGAACAAAAAAAAAAAGAATATACTGCTAAAAACACTCCTTTTATATTGCTGTATAAAAATATCTAGGATAATAATAACTATTGCCACTTTATACAATTTTACATACATATACATATTATGGTTATTTATTTTCATTCATATATTTTTGTGCACACATAAATACTTACATTTATATTGATACATATTTGCATTTACATATGTAAAAAAATGCACATATGTATGTATATGTTCATATATGCACATTTATAAATTTATTCCATTTTGGTATTTCTTCTATTTTTTTTTTTTCGTTTTGTCTTTTTCCTTATCTAATTTTTCATAAATAATAAAGGAGTGGACATATTACCACAAATTTTTAATAAATTTTTTTTTTGGTATACTATTATATTGGATTTTGCAGGTGTTTAAAACAATCATTCGAAATTATGTCTTTTATCTAATTTCTAATTAATATTAATTTTGCTTATAATTTCGAATAAATATAATAATTTGTCCTTGCTATTATTTATGTTTTCTCATCTTATACGACTATTGAATTTGACCTGTTATTAGCTTAAGGTTATATTTTCATTATAAATAATAAAAGCTAACTAAAATTAATTTGATTTCTAATATAACGGGCCAAATATTGCAAAAATTGAAAAACTCTGAATAAATTTTTTAAGTTAAAAGTTTATAGTTGAAAAAATTATAATATAATAGGTATTATAAATTATTATAGTTTATTAAAAAAAAATAGTTACAACCACTGTGTAAAATCTAAAATTGGATTTAATATGCTTCTTTCTCTGATATCACATTAGAAAAAACTGACACCTATTTTACATAAAAATTTACTATTCTGATAATGCCTCATTTTTTTATGTCATAAAAAATTGATTCAATTTAAAATTTGGTTCGAAAATGCAAATTAACATACTGTAATTTTTATTGAAAAAGTTATAGGTCTTATAGGTCCCTATACAAAAGCAATCGAATTTTTGTATAATTATTTCTTTCCAACATACATTTAAAAAATTATAAGTACCTATACTTTAATTTTATCTTATGATTGACTGGAGTCATTTTTTTTGTCTTCATTTCAATATTTAGCATTAATTATTAATTTGAATTTCTATGCTCCCTTTGCTCTTGTAGGTTTTCTAAAATAAAAGAGCCACGTATATATAATAAAGCACACATATAAATATACATAGACAAATAAATTTCGTATATATACATGTTATAATATATTCATATTATTAACAATATTTTGACGATAATATAAAGGGTAAAAATTTTATATTAGTATTGTTCATATAACAGTTTATGAAAATGATTTTCGGAATATAAAAATTCATGTAAGTAAAATATTTTAAAGGAAGGTACCATTTTCACCGGTTATTTAAATTTAGTTTAGTATTTAAAGTTTTTCGAAATTTTTAATATTTAAGAAAAAAACTTAATTCTGCTTTTATAGCTTGATTTGGACAATGTATATATACGAGTATCTGCCTTAAATTTCGTTAAACATAAAACTAAACGTTTTGTATTAAAGTGTCCACATAGAAAGAAATATATACACATGGATTTGGTGTGGTAAACTAAAATTTATTAGCCTTAAAATTAAATTGTTTTGGGTTTGGTTTTGATGCTCTAACAGGTATATAAAATATTAACAATGGAATTTTTTGAATATTTTTTTTTTACCTATTTTATAAGTATATAATTATATTTTAAAAAATAAAATAGGCAATAATACGAAAATGCTGTGCTAAAGTACTTTTATATCCTATTACTTTTACAACAAAAAAAAAACGACTTTTATAAATTTCTACAAATATTATAGACATACATTTGCTACAACAAGTGAAGTTAGGTACGGAAACCAAAAATTAAACCACAATATATTAGAAATAACAAAAATTCAAGGAAAGAATTGTTTACAGTTCTATTTATAATTTACCGTAATTTAAAAAAAAAAGGTGCGTCAAATCAATGGTTTGTATTGTAGCACTTTTCCCTTCAACAAGTGAAAATTCTGCTTTTAAATACAGTCTATGTGTACCTATCACACTATTAAAATTATTTTCATTCATATACAAAACTATTTCTAGGATTGCATATGTTTAGGATGAACGATTTATTCAGTCTTTGAAATAAAGCAAAAATTAATTTATAGAGGAATTCTCTAGAGGTCTAGAAGAAAAATTACATTAAAAATTTGGAAATAACGGATTTCAAATAACGGTAAATTTGAACGGCCATTTTGTTTTTTTAAAGTTTAAACCACTGCAATAAATGGTTTCACTGCAATAAATAGTTAAAAAACGGCACTTTTAGGTTTTTGGGCGGTATAACATCTAGAAGGGGGAAATAGGTCAAAATTTTCTCCTACAGAAATAAGTTTGTAGTAAAGATCTATGTACATATTAAATTTCAGCTTTCTGTCTTCAAGAATATAGAAGTTTTGTAAACATGTCCACGGGCCGACGGATGGACAGAGTGAAACTAATAAGCACTTTTTATCAAATATTTTTTAATAAAAAAAAAAAAAAAGTGAGAGAAATCAAAAAACATTGAAAATTTTTGAGCATCATATCTCAACACTACTCAACTTTACAACATTTAACTCAACCAAGTTGATCAGCATGTCCGTATATGGGTAGAATAATATATTATATACGATTAATATCAATTTAGTGACGCTTTGTTGTACTATAAGGAATTTAATATTACTTAAGTTTTACAAAACACATGTGTATCATGTTTAAATTTTATAATTTGTTTGCTTATTGCATTCCTTACAAATTACAAAATATATACAATTAAAAGCAGCAAATGCTACCAACATAACAAAAATTATTTTAACAAAATAATATAAATGCAAAAGTTGGTAAAATGTCAAAAATTCCAAAATATTTTTACCTAAATAAAATAAAATTTAATAGAAACGAAAAGTTTAAAAATATATTCTGAGAAATATACATATGTACATACTATACATGGGTATTTTTTATAAAAAATTATTTGTTATACAATTATATATAATACCCATTATGTAATTACATCAAACTATGCATTTATATATTACAATTTGGTTAACGTCTTATTATCAATAGGAGGAAAATGAAGGCCTGGACGCTGAGATAGGATGACAATGACACTTCGTCAAACGTAAAATATGATTTTTGACAAATGTTACATGTACGCCCTTTCGTATGATAGTTAGAAAATGTTCTTCCTTATATCAGTAGTCTCAAATAACATTAAATTTCGCTAATCTTTTTAATAGCAAATGTTAATTATTAACGTTTTGAAATTTTTATAGAGTGAAAAAAGGTATAGAAATAGGTTAAAGTTGTTTTAATAAAATAAAATTGGTTTGAAACAATCATTGAAAAAAAAAACTAAAAATCTAAATAATAGAAAAATAAGAAAAAAAAATATATCTAGTTGATATTGGAAAAATTATCTTTTGATTTTTTCAAAAGAAAAACGAAAAGTTGCACTTAAAACTAGATACTATACGAATAATTAAAACTAAAAACTATACACAAAAAATTTTACAACTATTTCTGTCAAATTGATGTAACAATCAAAATCTGCAAATCTGCTATTGTGAGCAAAACAGAAAATTTAAAAAAAGCGGCAACACCTTTTATTCTAATATTCGCTTCGCATTTAAGTACTGTCAAAAATCTAGATAAGTGGTTTTGTATCTAAAATCAGTTGATTATTAAATTTCCTTTGCAGAGGGGCAGGAGAAAGTAAATCTAAACTATTTAAGCTTAAATTTATACCTTAGTTAAGACCGGACATTATAAGTTAAAACGATTTTAAAGCTTAAAATAATTCTCCTAACGACATTAGCATAAACATTTACATAGCTTAGTTTGCATTTGACTGAGGTGTACGTAAGGTGTATTGTGCGGTTTTGAATATACCCAGCGCTAGGTGTTAAACTACTTATTTGGTATTGAGATAATTAATTATCTTACTAATTATGGAGGTGATTGTAATAATAATTGTTGAAAAATTTTTGATAAAATTTAGCTATATAAAATATTTAGGTAGAAATTTTGAATCCAAAAACTTCTAAACCATATGGAAAATGTAATATTGAAAGTCCAAAGATTACAGTCAGTGAATTACGTCAAATAATTCAGAAACAAATAAAAAATACGCCACATGCAGATAGAATATCATTAAAATTAGAAGCAAAAGGCAAAACCTTGAAAGATTCCGATACTTTAGAAAAATTAGGTGTCCGAAATGGAACCAAGTTATATCTAAAAGATCTTGGACCACAAATTGGCTGGAGTACAGTGTTTCTAGCAGAATATGCTGGCCCTTTAGCAGTATATTTATGGGTATATCAACGTCCATACATTTTTTATGGAGATACTACAGATGCCGTTATATCAACTACAGCTCAGTAAGTATAATTGATTAAATTCTTTTTATAAATACCTTCAATTTTAAGCTTAATTATTCAATAGATTTTGAAATTCAATCAAAAAAGTTCATCTTTGACCTCATTTGAACTTTTCCTTTTTGCTTTTTTTTTTTAAGTGAAGACATTTTATATGCCACATTATGAAAACTAAACTTTCTTTTTTTTTTTTGAATAAATTTATGCTTTGTAATATAGTAATAGGTAGATAGCTATAAAGTTGACTTTAAGCATAAACAATGTTTAACAAAAAATAATCGACACAGATTTCTGAATCTACCGAAAATTTTTAAAAATTGTTTTGTTTTTAGTATTGCAGCAGCTTGTTGGACTTTGCATTATGCTAAGAGACTGTTGGAAACAATTTTTGTACATCGATTTTCCCATTCCACTATGCCAATAAGAAATCTATTTAAAAATTGTGCTTACTACTGGGGTTTCACAGCATATGTTGCATTTCATGTAAATCATCCGCTATTTACACCACCATGTCTAATGCAAGTTTATGGAGCATTGGCAGGATTCATTGTAAGTTAAATATCAATATTAGGATACATACAAATAACTGTTATTACAAATAAACCTACATAAAGGCTTAAAGTTTAATATCGATAAACCTTAATATATTATATATGTATATATATTTAACTCCATTTCTATAAATGATTTTAGCTTTGCGAACTCGGCAATTTCTCAATTCATATTAACTTAAGAAATTTAAGACCACCAGGCAGCAAAGTAAGAAAAATTCCTAAACCGGATGGTAATCCCTTAACCAAACTTTACAAGTAAGTACATTTTGTTGTATTTGAAAATATTTTCTAATATTTATTATTTTTAGTTTTGTATCTTGCCCAAATTACACATATGAGATTGGAGCTTGGGTATTTTTCTCTATAATGACCTCATGCATTCCAGCCGGTTTATTCGCTTTTGCTGGTGCTTATCAAATGACTATTTGGGCATTAGGAAAACACAGAAATTACAAAAAGGAGTTCAATGATTATCCAAAGAGTCGAAAAGCAATTTTCCCCTTTTTACTTTAAATTTCTCCTAGGTTTTCACATTTAGTTTTTAATTTAGTGGTGTTTTTCTAATATTAAATTTCTGGTTCGGACGATTGATTGCTTTTTAGGAATAATTATTTTAATTCTGTTATTATATTAAGTACATATGTATTTAATTTTTTTTTTGAATGATTCAAGAACAAATTGGTCAGAGATTATTATGTTGAAATTTATAATTAATTCAGAAAGTTGTAATATTAAAGCATTTTCCTTTTGTACACAAAATTGTTTTATTATGCCATAGGTTATTATTGAAAGAGGCTGCAAAAAAAATTCTTGTTTTTGAAAATTAAAATTATTATTAATAGATAAGAATTTTATTTTATCTTAAGATTACAACTAAAATAACACTTCTATTTTAAAATTTAAAAAAATTAAAAATATTTAATTCTTTTGCGTTATTTAATTACATTTCTTCAAAGCTTCTCAATTTGCTTGAATACCGTATTACTACCAATTTGCACACTTTTGAAAGGGCGTGAACGAGTTCTGCCTCGGAATGGTTGCAAAAACGTTTTATCTTGAACAAATTCAGCCGGGCTGTACAATGGACCTTCAGTCTCCAAAAATATATCTAAACTAGTCATTGTTCGTTTTAATTGAGCAGATAAAATATTTTTCTTATGCACAGAATTTATTTCGATAGAATTCGTCCACATTTCCATTTCCTTAGAGCAAAATTAAAAAAAAAAAAAGTCCATTAAAAAATTCATCATATAATTAATTTTTTGTTTACTCTTATAGCTTGATTCGTTTGCGAATTATGTTTGCCATTCCAAAACAGGCAAAGTGACCAAATGGGGTATTTATTTGGAAAACCACTGGGTATGCTTATCAAGCACTCTAATTTTGCAGAATTTCTTGTAATTATGGCGCGATAAAACATATCATGCTCTGACACAACATTAAATTCAACAAATTGTTGTGTAGAAGAGTCAGATGAATATTCCAACCATGATAGATTAGTCCATTGCACTAAAGATGAAGATATTCTTAATGTTGAACAATTATCTTCATCAACATCCATAGAAGTTGAATCTACAGGCTCAATATTTTTGTTTTCCAAGGCTTGAATCTGCTGGTATAGGTTTAAGCGCGATAGCCAACGGGAACGAATAGTTTTAACAATTGCAGGAACTGAATTTTGAGCCCATTCAACTGATTTGTCTTCATTGAAATCAGCCGATGAAGTTGATTCTTGTTCATCTGAAGCTGGAAAATTTAGACCACATAAACGTTGAACCCACTTGAATGGCTTTCCGTAATCTTTTTCGTTAAAATATTCTAAAAGATGCTTTTCTGTCATTTCAAACTCACGTAACTAAAATTAGGGGTGAAGTATTTTTGCAAATTATTTGTGTAATAAAAAATATTTTAAATTAAGTTACTTGATACTTTGTCTTAGGATTTGGACTACATTCACCACGGTCATTTGCGTACAAATTGTTTAACACGTTTTCTGCTGATACCACAGCCCTTAAATAAAAAGTGACAACTATAATTACTTCTTACTTATGCATATATAGCTATATATATATGTATACATATTTTTCTTAAATCATACCCTGCTGCCGAAGTCAAGTTTTCTATTTCAACTTTTGTAGACAATGTGATAAGATTAAGATTTTCAAAATAATGCAATGTTAAAGTAAGCTGTTCTTTGCTACCTCTCTTTTCAAACTAAAATTAAATATAAAATACCTTTCTTTCAAATAAAAAATTTCTTAACTTACTGAAATTACAACCCGTAATGGATGTGCTTTAAAAAGATTTTTTCGCTTTACTTCTTTAGAGTCTACAGTACTTTTCCTTTTATGATACTTTTTCCGAGGTATATTTTCAGAAATTTCATTTTCATCTCCATCGGACTCTTGATTATCATCATTTAAAGTTTCATCCATTAAATCTGAAATTTTATCTTCATCCTCTATCTGTCTCATTTCTTCTTCATCTTCAGCAATTGAAACTTTTAAATACTTGTCGCAGGCCTCACCATAAGCAGATAAATTAACATAAACTAAATAAAGGGGACGTGGCAGTAATCGAACTGATTGTTGAACCTCCCATTCTTTTTCAATTTCCATGTCTAATGCTGTTTGTAATGGTCTCGTAGCTATTAAAAGGGCTTCTAGACATGGAGCCAATGAATTTAACCTTTCAACTTTCAAACTTATATCCTTAGAAACACTTTCCTTAGACACAGTTAATTCTTTAACAAGAGCCGACAGTTCTTTTCGTTGTTGTAACTCCCATTCCAACCGAGCTAATCTTTTAGAATGTTCATCACTCTTTGTTTTATCTGGCCGACTTACTATTTCTGGAGCAGTAGCATAAAATTCTTCTTCAGATACTAATTCAATTTCTTCATCTTGACTTTTGAATTGATAGCAGTGTTCAACTTCCCTTTTTAAATGATTTAGTTCATATAACAAATTTTGTAACTGGAGACGATTACTATCAACCCTTAATTTTTCTTTATGTAATGCATCTCGTCCTGAACGCAAACGTATTTTATCCAAACGATTAAGTTTCTTAAGAAGAACAAAAATTAATGATCCTTGAATACGTTTTTCGAGAATTTCTGATTTTGCCTTTAAATTTAGTGAAATGAATTAGGTATTAAATGTAAATTTCATTTTTTGTAGTTTTTTTTTTATTTGCTAATTCTTCTTTTTTGAAGTTTAATGTTGAGCACAGACCTTCTCTGAATTATCCTTTTTTAATGTAGCAATTTCATCAAATATCGTTTTCAGCTCTCCACAAGTTTGATGAAAGAGCGCCATGTCCTCTTTTGCTGCTCTGGTTTTAGCCTCCTCCTCCTCATGTCTTATGATACTCTAAAAAAAAACTCATTTTAAACGCATTGGTCACATTTTTCTTTTAAATTTAGAAATTCTGTTTAAATAAGCGAACATAAATTAATTAAAAAATCCTAGTTTAAGATGTGAATCTAACCTCATATACTTCTTCTTTTGATTGTTTAGATGTTCCAACATCAGAGCTGGTTTTCCGCCTCTTTTTTTCATTTATATCTTTTTCAAGGGATTCCTTGTTAACCATTTTGAATTTTTTAATTAAAAAAGCAATAAACTTTACTCTTGCATGAACAAATTAACAAATAAAAAATTAATTTTTGATACATCCACTTAAGTTCAGACTCTTGAGTTTAATATCTTTAAATGTCACTCTCAACACAAATGCAGAGTTGAATTTTTTAGTTTTTTTCTTTTTTCAATACTTCAACTCAGAATTTTAACGTTGGCAGCACAGTATGGCCGAAGAAGTATATAAATTATCGATAGTACAATATAAATCGATTTCTTTTTTTGGAAAAAAATCGCGCTCTTCTTGTCAATATTTATGTTTACACAATAGCTTTTGCATCAATGTTTGTTATACGTTTATTTGTTCCATCAATGATTGGTTGATACGATACGGTAGATATTTGGGATCTATTAGATTACGTTTCATATATCTTATATATATATATTTGAGATCATCAAAAGATGTGTTTATAACATATGAATCAACCTGACAGGTTTCTGATCAACTTGATATATTGAAGTAAGTATAAAGTTCAACTATTATAATCAATTTTATTTACTGAAAAATTCAAAGCAACTGTTTCATATTACCTGTGTTCCATTTATATGAGTATTCATAAGTAGCCAAAACTGAAGACAAGTACACAAGTATAAATGGGTAGATGATCTGTCTGCGCAGTTACAAGTTTTTTTTCCGGTAGATGGAGATAGTATTTTTGATTTGTAACAGATAGATTTTATGTTTTCTTATTCTAGCATTAAATTGTGAGTGATATTTGAATTGTGTTTTTTTTTTAAATTGTCACTTGAAAAATAAAACAAAAATTGCTCTTTTTCAAATTTGAAAATTTTTAAATAATTTTTTAATTTTATTTGCGTTTAGAAAGTAAAATATTAAACAGATTGTCAGATTTTTCCAAAACAAATACGTAATTTAAATTGGACCTTAATAAACTAAGGTAATATTTTACTCACATACCAAAAAAAACTGTACCATTTAGAAACTACATAGTAATTTGAGTAGTTTGAATACTTAAATGGAACGAAATTAATATTCGCAACTATTGGCAATCTTTTGAATTTGATTTCTTTTTTCATAGATTTGGCCATTTTCCTAGCTTTTTTAAATTCGCTCTTCTAATGTCAAAACTTTATTTCCACTGACACTTAAGAGAAACTAACAGACGTATAACAGATAGACTGTCATTTGGGGGCTCAAAGAAAATATTTAACCGCCCAAAATTGAAAAACAACTGAATTACTATTTCTAGATTTTCTTAGAATATTTTAATGCCCTAAAGAAATTTTATTTTTGAGATGAGTGAGATAATTAAGTTTCTTGCTTAAAAAAATAAATGCTTTTGTTTAAATTTTTATAAGAAAAGATACATACATACATACTTAATTTTTTTTTTAAATTTTATTCAATTTTTAAATTTCCTAAGGAATCTTCCAAAAATCCCATTTTAAGCCTTTACATATTTTACTTAAGTAATGGATTGTTAAAAATATGTTAATTCCCAAAATATAACTTTTCTTAACGAGAAAATGCTAGATCTAGAAGATTCAATTAGGTATAAAGCGAAAAATAAATTATATTCCTGTCTATTAATTCAATTTGTCTATGGAACAACTCTGATCCTTTTGAAAAACAAAATTTGAGTACGATTAAGGAACAATGACGTTAGGACAAGCATAGATAGGGTATTTAGGTAAGTTTTTATTTAGAACTTGTTTATTTATTAATCCATTTATTAATTATGCATTTGATTTAATCATAAAAATTACATTTTTGTTTTGAAACTTGGTAATCAAAGTGTGACAGAAAAGGTTTTCCCACCAAAAATGTACTCAAAATGTACATACATGAATAACACATCAAATTTTATAAATATAAGATTTTTATATTTTTTCAGCGAAAACCGCATAAATTGGTTGAAATGAAGTTTCCAAACAAAGCAAGCGCTGAAAATTTTACAAGTATTATTAAAACAGTCTTGCCTAAAGAACTTCCTGAAGCACTACCAAATACTTGTAAAAGTGAGTGTCCGCTTAATGCAAATAACTTTATTGAGAATTCCCAAATATGTAGCGTGGGATTTAATTTTTTAAATCTTTCACTTTCAAAACAAAAACCAAAAATGGAATTGTCTGATCATCAGAAAGGTAATAACTTAGAACAAACTGAAATAATATCCATATCCTCGAGGGAAAGTGAGGAAAAAACTCCAATAAAAACTGAGAAAATTAAAAAATTAAGAAATGTGACAACCAAAGTAAAGAAGGAAAAAGCAGAGGGAGGAAAAAGTAGAAAAACTTCGCAAAGCATAAATGAATCCTCAGTTAAAACTCCAAAAATTAGAAAAAGTATCCTTAAAACTAAAAGCCCATTAAAAAGACGTAGCAAAAATTCGAATGATGAATCCGATTTCGTAGGGGAGGAAAGAATTATTGGAAATTCGTCCAAAAATTATAAAGTGGAAATTAAGGAAGAAAAAACAAAGAGCCAAAGCAGGAAAAAAAAGCTAGAAATTTTAAATGAAATCTCAGTTGAAACTCCTAAAACTAAAAAAACAAAAGTTAAAGCAAAAAGTACAATTAAAAAGAATTTCAGTAATAATTCTGACGACGACTCTGATTTTGACACAGAAAAGAAACCCATCATTCGTAGATTGACTAGATCAACAAATTTAAAAAAAATTAGTTATAAAAATCATCCTCCGAGTCAAACTAGAATTGAAAAATATTTCACAATAACACCAAAAAATAATACTATCAGCTATTTTAAAACTTTTGATAAATCTAAGGTAAGGGAATCGAAAACTGAGCCTTGTACGATAGAAAATGTGAATTCATATTTAGGTAATTGCTGTATAAAGTTTTTTAAGTTTGTACAAGTCTTACAAGTTATTTTTTTTTTAATTTAGATTATTATCTTCAAGAAATAAAAATTGAAAACAACTTAGAGGGGACCAACCTTAATTTAGACAAATTTAATAAAGAACAAGCAGATACAGAAGACAAAAATTTTAATTTTGCAAATGCCGTCAAAGAGGAACGAAACGATTGCGATGTAAATTTAGTTAGTTCTATGAATGCTGCTCTTATTGCTAGGAATGTAGAGGGTGCGAGCACAAAATCTCTAAGTTCAGCTCATATACAAAATTTGAGAAATCAAATTCAGTGCAACATGTCAAGTGAGAGTTTTGCTTTAAGCGAAACAGCACGAATTCACAAGAGTTCAAGTTTTCAAAAATCTTCCGAAAGTAAAATAACAATGGAGAATGAAGAAATTCAACCTACAAAGTCTAAGAGAGCTAGAAAGAGATTATCATTCAAAAATTCAGGTCCAACTAATCAAATGGAACAAAAATTGTCGGAATTAGATTCGTTATTATCGTTTCCTGTTTCAGAAAGGTCTTTGAAGACAAATAGCACTAAAACCGAAAATAGCTGCAAGGAAAATTTTCGATCTGAAAATTGTACAATAAACATTAGCGATGAGGATAGCGAACCAATCTTAAAGCAAAAGGAGACTACTAATATTAATATAAAAGGAAGAAAAACTAAATCAAATCACAAAACCCAAAAATCTGTAGAATGTCCGTTTTATAAAGTAGTTAGTGGAACTACCTTCGCAGTAGATGCTTTTCGTTTCGGTTATATAGAAGGCATTACGCATTACTTTTTATCGCATTATCATGGTGATCATTACATTGGATTGAAAAAAGCATTTTCGATGCCAATTTATATGTCATCCATTACTGGTAACTAATAAATTTGGTTTTGATACTTGACATCCCTAGTATTATCTTATTGTAGCCAGACTAGTGGAAGGATTCATCCATGTTAATCCAGAGTATATAAATGTAATTGATCCAAATGAATCCATAAATATAAATGGAATTGAAATTACCGCAATTGATGCCAATCAGTAAGATCTTGTAAAATTTGTATAATTAATTATTCAAACCTTAAAAAATAAAATTTTTTAGTTGCCCGGGTGCTGTAATGTTTGCTTTTAAATTTCAAAACGGTAATGTAACATTGCATACAGGAGATTTTAGAGCGTCTTTTGAAATGGAATCAAATCCATATTTCTGGAACAATGAAGTTCAAACGATATATTTAGATACTACTTACTTGAATAATAATTACGATTTTAAACCGCAATTCGAAAGTATAGAAGATGTAAGAAACTGTGTCAAAAAATTTGAAGAGAAGCATATTGGAAAAAGAATTTTATACATTTGTGGATCATATGTAATTGGCAAAGAAAAAGTTTGGGCAGCTATTGCTGAAATGACTGGACAATCTGTATACACGTCTGGAAATAGACTGAAAGCCTTAAGATGTATTGCCGACCCGGAGCTAGTGAAATATATTGGGAATGATCCGAAAACAGCGGGTATTCATGTTTTGTCTGTTGGCGAACTATTCTATGATGTAATTGATTTAACTTAAAAACATATTTTTTCTTAATTTACATTTATATTTTAGAAACTATTTAAATATTACAAAACTTACGAAGAGTATTTCGATTTAGTATTAGCTATTCGCCCCAGTGGTTGGGAAAGAAATTCTAAGCCGCAATACCGAGGCAAAATCAATATTGTTGGTAATTTCAATATTGCATGCAATTACACTAATTTTAAATGCAGAATAAACATGGATTATTAAAATTTCTTTTAGGTATAGAGTACTCAGAGCATTCAAGTTACTCGGAGCTTCGACGGTTTATTAGATTTTTGCAGCCACGTTCCATAATTTCAACAGTTCCAAATGGATCGGATATATCAAAAACATGTCCAATTCCAATCAATTGGTTTGATAATCGATTAAAACCAAAATTAATTGCATATCAGCCATCTATAACAAATTTTGCTAGTAGTAGAAAAAAATATAATAAAAAACGTTTGAAATCGGAAGAAGCAACTTGTTCGAAATATTTAGAAGATAGTCGTTATGATCTATTTGTTAGTCCCATTAAAACAGAAACTATTATTTCATCTAAATCAAAAATTAGTTGATATGTAATTGTTGTGCGATGAGGAGTATTCACAATGCCATTAATAATCGTCATTTTAATTTAATACTAAATCATTAACTAGAGTATTATCATATAATTTCTAGTAATAGTTCTTTCTAAGTTACAAAAACATTCAAGCCTTATTTTGTTCATAAAAATCAAATTGAAGAAGTATTTTTACCAGTTTAGTTAAAATATTTCTCAAATATTTTAGAAAGGTTACAATTTACAATTATGTTGTTGTAAATATATTTTATGCAATTTTTATATTAATTTTTCGTAAATTTTGTTTAATTTCAGTTGCTATAATAGAATTAGTTCCTTATTTTGTTTTATACTGTTTTCCTTTAAAAATAATGTTTTAAAATAAATTAATGCATATATATGTACGTATTTAGCTAAATAAAATCAGATTTAATTAGAAAATGCTAAAAAGGATCCACATGTTTAAAATAATAATAATGCTATAAAATCGCAAACTAAACTGTTGGGATGTCAGATAGCAGTTTTTGTGATATTTCAAAGGTTGATAAATTTTGTAAACGTAATTTTGTAAATCGTTGCAAGTAATAAATTGTTCTACATAATATAATATATGTTATAATATATGTAGAACAATTATATTAATATATGTTAATAAATTTTTATTACTTTATATAAATATTTAGTTTTAAATTTTACTATGTTTCAAATCTCTTTTACGCTTAATTACTTCATATAAAGGCAAAAGTTGATTTAAACGAAAATAGTTAAAACTCGCTTTTTACAAAATTTGTATTGGGCAAAAATTAATACTTAGTATTTGAAAATTTCAATAATTTATTAAAGTTCATATTATATAATTAAAACAAGTTCTATGTTAATAATCATCTAAAAAAGGCTAAATTTTTTAATTATATTAGTTATTCGTTTTTGTGCGTTCTTTCAATATATTTTTTATAGTTTCATCTCGTTGTATTAATTTTTTTTCTAATTTTCCAACTTCTTCTATATGACGAGCATGTAGTCCCCGAATTTGGGATTCTTTATGTCTAACAATGGCTTCTAATTGTTTAAGTTCATCCCAAGTATTTTTCATTTTTTGTTGGCTTTCATCTAATTTGTGAGCCCATTGTAAAGCAATTCTAAGTCTAGCTTTTAATCTGTCTCTTGATTCTTTTAATTTTTGAGCAGACTTTTTTAAATAACAATTTTTATCATTTAACTCTTCTATATTACATGAAAGCTTTTTAATTTCAACTTTTAAATTTAATACTTCTTCTTTTGATGAATGATTTTTAGTTTGTAATTCCAAATTTGTTTTTTTAATTTCTTGTAATTCTTGTAACAATTTTGATTTATCATTTTGATGTTCAGATTTTAAATCTTCAAATAATTTTTGACATTCTTTTAAACTTTCAATTATAACTTCAGGCTGTTGATTTAAATTCTTATATGAAACTAATTCACCTTTAGCTCTTCCATAAGCTTCTTGCAAACGTTCTAAATCTAATGATTGTGATTGCACTTTTTGTTCATAGCATCTTAATACTTCAACAAGTTTTTCTTTAGCAATATCACCACGTCTAGTTTGAAGCTCTGCTTTAGATCTACAAACATCTAATTGCGCTTGCATTCGTGTACGTTCCTCACGCCAACCATCTTTTCCTTTACGACTTTCATCAATTTCTTTATGCAACCGTTCATTTTCATCCAAAATTTCTTTTAATTGACCAGTAAAACGATTCATTTCACTTTCATAATTTTGAATAAGATCTTCTTTTTCGCGTATCATTTCCTCGTAGGAATTAAGAAGAGGAGCTAAAGTATGAGTATTTACGGAGCCCCAATGCAAAGAGTTTTCTAAAACAAAATTATTATGTATGTACATAGTATATTTTTTATAACACTTGGAATCTTACCTAAAACAGGTGATTCTGCACTGGAACGATATGTTGGATGATATAAATGACAATTATTGTCTGGTTCATCATTTGGAAGCTCTGTTGAAAATTTTCTCTCTTTGTCTTGGTAACGTTCAATTTGTACATTTAATCTATAAACAAGTGTTTTCATCATTTCCACATCATTTTTTAAACTTTTGTTACATTCAGTTAAATTTTCTTTTTCATTTTGCCATACACTACAGTTTTCACAAATTTTGTTTTCAGTTCTTTGTAGCGATATTGAAAGATTTTCAATTTTTTTATTAAGTTGTTGTATTTCAGTTGTTAGTTTTTGGTTTTCTTTTGAAAATTCTTCATTATGTCCATAAACTTCAGTTATTTTTTTTACAAGTTTTTCAATTTGATCATCTTTTGTTTGAACCTATATTATGTACATATATATTAGAATAGAAAATTAAATAAATTACAACCATCAATTATTATTTACTTAAAATTAAAAATAAAATAAAATTCTAAATATAAGATAGATAAATTATGTGATAAATGATGTGAACTTTTACAAAGTAATTATAAGTTATAATTGTAAGTAGTACCTAATGAAGTCATTTATTTTTTGATTTTTGCAATAATGGGAAATATATATAAGTAACTATATCTGAAGCGCAATTGGATTTTGGAATTTAATTTAGGTAAAAAAGCTTAAGAATTTTTCTCTAAAAAATTTGGTAAGTATGTGATATTTATTCCGAAAAAAATATGAAAAGATTAATCTATGATATTTACCAATATTTTGTAAAAAGCATGTATTGAGATGATAGAGGATTATTTAAAAACCTCAATAATATTGTCCAAATTATAATCATCTTAAGTGATGCCTTCAACGGCATATTCTTAAATGAATACATATAATAAAATTCTGTTATTATTAGTATATTACTCTTAAAATACTTTCACAAATTATGAAGTAAATATGCAAGTTGTTAAGCAAAATTTCAGAACCGTTTAATAAAATATTAAACTACATACATACTTACATACGTGGATTATTTTTGTTAATTTTTAAAAACAAATTTTTATTTACCATTATTTTCAGCTGTTCAATATCATTGACATCACGTTGTGCAGCAATTTTGTATTCTGCACTTCGACTTCTGCCCTCCGCGAAATTCCCTGAATATTTTTTAGTCTCTGTTTGCTTCCTATCCCTATGTCTATGGGGTTTTTTTGGTTTGTCCGGTTTAATCGCATCTTCATCAGATTTATCTAAATCTGTAACCGGATATCTTGAAATGGTTGGTTTTGAAGATTTCAATTCTTGGTTAGTACTGGTGGTAGGTTGCTGAATTTGATTAAATAAAAGTTTTGTTGACATCGATAACTGATAGATACACTTCTTTGTATAAATTTAAACTCTAAAGCAATTAAAGTAAATATTTAATATATTATTAAAAATATTTTAACATGCATTAACAATAATATTGTAAGTTTATTCAAACATTTTATTATAGAATATGATTCGTTCCTTTTATACATTTATTATTTAATATCGTTTACGTTAGTTATTAAATGAATATTTTTGAAATTGGGGGTGTATGCATGATTTCATTTTCACACAATGAGAAGATACATGGATACAGATATTTGTTGATATTTTTAACCCACTAACCTTTTTATGAAAATATAACCAATAGCTAGGTACTTACTTTCAGGATATTCAGGAAATTCTCATTCAATTCCCACTAAATCATATCGTTACGGTTTGCTATAAGTATATTTAACTGTAAATTGTAGTAAATTCCAAATATTTTTTTAATTAGATTTATATAGTTTTGTAAATTTAAACAATTTAATTAAATTAAATAAATTTTACTAATATATGTTTATCAACAGACAGTAGACTATTATTGCCACCATTTGTAAACAGAATTCTATGACGTTATCGTTTCCATGGTAAAGTTAAGGTGAAAATTTTTAAGACTGTATATGACAAACTATAATATAATGTATATTTTCACCATATTTTGAAGTTAGTGAAAACAGTGCTACTAACTAAACGAAAAAATACGAAAAATTTTTTATAATCGTATCTAATTTGAATTATTTGCGCCAAAACATAGTCAAGCTATGTTAACTAAAGAAATTTATAGTCTAATCATCACAAAACTTAATGGCAATTTATCCGAAGTCAAATAAACGGGAATAAACCTTTTGAAATATACTCTTTCATTTTTATTCATTTTCATATTCAGAATTCTCATTTTTGTAATTGAAAATGCAATTTTTTTATTAATTTTTTTCAATTTGTATTTTAATATTTTCTCAAAATATTGACTGCATGCTTGAATATTTAAAATTACTAAAACAAATTTAGATTACTTTCCATAATTACATGTGAATAAACTGTAACTAAATATTGTAAATATTTTGGAGAAAAATTCTTAATCGAAAAGTACATTATACCAATACGAATATAATGGAACGATACTCATGGAATTTATTCTCATTGGACCTGTAAAAAACTGAAGTACATAATCATGCCCTTAGTTGACAAATGTATAAAATAACACCTACCTTACTTATAAATTTTGTGGAAGCTGCTATCAAGATTCTGTTTTTCTGTTTAAGTATTTCACATTAAATTATAAAGGAATATGTGTTTTTAAATTTAAATAAAAAAATAACTAAGGTAATTTAAAATTTTATTTTTATATTCAACTATTTCTTTTTTTTGTTTTTTGCTTTTTCTTTCTCTTCAAATAATATCAACGTATTTTCTTTATAATTTTTGTTTTCTTCACATAAATTTATTTAGTTATATAACTACATATAATGCATATATGTGTATATCTTTATATATATATGTTTAATATAGATTTGTAATTTTTTATATCAATGTATAACAAATTAATAAAATATATTTTATTTAATAAAAACTGATGATAACAATTTATAACAATTCAAGTATAAGATTAATATTTTCTAAAAAATTTATTATTAAAACTTAATATTTTTTTTTTTTTTTTACAAATAAAATTCATTTAATATTTACATATATGATGTTTGTTTGTTTCATTCAATTATTTAATTACATATTATTATAATCGCAACAATAAAATTTCAAAAAAATTTATATATCATGTAAATATCATTTTTAAAAAACAGCATTATTTTTTTTTTTAAATTTTCAATATTGTTTCAGTATTGTGAATCCTACTGCGTTTTATGTCGAACATTTAACCAATTAATTTAGCTTTACTGATACATATTTAATTAATAATAAAGTTTTGTAATAATATATTTATTTAAATTAAAATGAAATATATACACAAATATTTATACATATATATTATTTATCGCATTATAAATAACGAAAATTTCTTAACATCTTAATTATAAATCTTAGTAATGGTATACATTTTTTTTTTTTTCATAATAATATTATGTAGATCATTTGGATCAAAATTCATTAATCATAACATTTATTTTTAATTTAATAGAGATTCTCCTTATATAACAATGTCAATTTTAAAACTGGTATGAAATTCTTAAAAACAAAACTCTACAATTAAATTAAAATAAAGTATTTATATTTTGCAAACAATCAAATTTACAAGATAAAAGAAAATTCATACAAAATTGTAAACAATTAATTGAATTAGTTGGCTTCGAAACACAACAGTTTCTTCTGCAGTTATAATTTTTCTCGTGTATCAAAAAACCACGAGTACAATTTTTTTCTTTAATTACGGACATTAAAAATACATCAATCAAAGTAAAAAATATGTAAATTAATTTTAATTATTTATAATGCTTACATTTTTAATATGAAACAAATTGAATTTTAATGTGAATATTAAAAACTTTCTCTACAAAAATTTAAAAGATAACAAACAATAAAGAATGAATTTTCTTTAAATTTCAAAATAAAAATTTTTATTTTTTTACTCTGTTTTTTGTTTTTGTTAAGTGTAATTGGGAGACATTTGTGACTTTGTTGTTAATAATTTGTTAAACAAACTTTAACTATTTATTATCATTTAACGTATTTACTTAAATCTAATTAAAAAATAATATTTTCAATCACTTAAGAGTTAATAAATTTCATTTGGAGGCAAGTATAAAATTAATAAAAAAAAAAACTAAATCTATAATAGTTTATATTTAAAATTTTTTTTAACCTATCATATTATGTAGCAATTAATTAAAAAATTAATAATTATTGCCGTATATTTTTAAATAGTTAAATTGATAGTACAATTTAATGATGAATTTTTTAAAACAATATAATTAATTTTTTATGGAAAGACTAACTTTTTGTTTATTTTACATTTTATTTTAATATATCAACGGATTTGTTCTTATTTAAAACAAAAGACAACAGAATTGAGCAAACAAAATATGTACTTACAAATTCTTAAGTATATTTATTGTTAAACTTTCGTTATTTTGTAAAATTTAAAGAATTATAGAAAACTAAGAATACGTTAATAAATTTCACTATTAAAAAGCTATGATATTCATTTGAAATCATAATTAAAGAATAGGTTTTAAATAATTATTGGAAAATGAATTAGGTTTTAAATGATTACAAAGAAAATTAGTGGTATAAAGTGCTACATAATAAAGGGTTGTCATAATAAGGCTATATTTTTCAAATAAATTTAAAACTTTAAAATGAAAAATATAGTTACATTATACATTTTTTTTGTTCACACTTAAAATAATATTATGCAATCAATATATTTATTTATAATTACTAATATATATTTCAATTTATTATATATATATTAAGATTATCAGCAAAAATTAATCACAAACTTTAATATTCTTAGTTTGGACAGCTTTTTGGTTTCTTACTTTGAATTCAAAATTTTTTTTTTTTATAATTTTTGAGTATTAATTTAAAAAGTTTATTTCTTAAAATAAAAATATTTTTATTTAATTGTTCTTTTTTTCTTTCTTTAGCTATTAAAATTAATTATTAAAAAACAGATTTATACTATTAAATTCACAACTTTCTTAATGATATTTTATTAAAAGTATATCTAGCTAAAATCAATAAAAATTATTCTACTTAAAGTATATCAACAAAAATTAGCTAAATTCATAAACTCAACAAATTATTTCTGAATAAATATATATATATATATATATTTTTTAAGCAATATATAATTCAACATAATGGTTTGCTGCATTGAAAGCAGTACCTGCTGTTGCAGCAGCCGCTAATGTACCTTGATGTTGATGATGATGATAATTGGCTGTAGTTAAAAATGTTGGACTTAATATACGGCCAGTTAATTGAGTTGGTCCTAATTGTCCTGGTATTGGCTGTTGAGCATGATGATGATGATGTAAATGACCACCAGAATATTTTTCTAAAGATATGGCTGCTGCATTTGTATCAATTGTTAATATATGTGAAGCTGCGATTGGTGTTCCAGTAGCAGCAGCTGCTGCTACCGGATGAATAAAACCAGTTGATGTTGCACTTCCATTAGTTATAATTCCATTAGTTGTTGCTGCAACGATAGGTTGCACTGCTGTTATTGCAGATGGAGATTGAGGTTGCGATGATGCCATAGTATTCCCGTTTAATATTGGTGATGTTAATTGAACAGCTGAAGTTGAAGTAGAAGTAGTTGGAACAACTGCAACGGTCATTGGATGAAAATGTTGTTGTGCTGTATTACTGCTGTTGGTAGAAATGCCATTGGTCTTGGAGTGAGTTGGTGTACTATTGTCCGAAAATTGTTTAGAACCTGACGATGATGGTGAATTTAATACAGTTGAAGTTTGTTGCTGTAATTGAGATGACTGTTGAATTTGTGGTGGGGGTGGTGGTGGTGGTGGTGGTAAACTTGGAGAAACAGGTTGAGGCTGATGATGATGATGGTGATGATTGTGATTATGTTGATTAGAAGAGTAATGATGATTTTGGTGCCGTTGATGATGACCATGCTGATGATGATGATTTGCAACAGGATGATGAGGAGCATGATGGTATGCAGCAGGTGATGCTGGTATAAAATCTACGGGAAACTGTTATGGAAAGGTTTTGAGGATATTTTACTTTTTACGTTAACGTAAACGTTTTTTTTTTTTATCGCATTTTAATTAAATTTGTTTAAAAATTAGTTTGTATAAACTATATATTTGAATTTGACATATTATCCTGACATCTATTCAATTTTAAGTGCATTTATATCAAATATTATCTAAAGAAAGATTCAGAAATGCAATCAGTTAATTTTTATTATTTTATTTATAATATTTTATTAATAGGTATTGTTCTTAAGAATTTTATTTTTTAAATTATATGTCATATGCAAGTTTCTGAATTTTCTATAATTTTTGCTAATTTTAAGTAAA